ACATGACCATGTTAATTAAATTGTCTTATGAACAGCTGTAAGGAAAAGGAATCATTAAAGAGAACAGGATCAAGCTGGGAGACGGGAACCCCAGAAGCCTATTCCCCACCATCTTCAGGGCTATAATTCTGATTAAATCACAAATAAACCCGGAAAGTGTATTCGTAAATAACGTGAGGGGAGAATCTGATACATCAAAGTGATCTACTGAAAAATAAAACTCGGGATCCATTTGGTGAATATTGCTCTGGCAAAATGAACAAGCAAAGGAATATCTCAAATCTTTGCTAGTAGCAACAGAATTGAAACAGAAGAATTTGAGAAGAAATAAAAATAAAATATGACTACTGTTACTATTACTCTAATACAAAATTCTACAAAATAGGTGTTTTTATTCCATCTTTAAGGCAGGGAGGCAAACTCATCTGCCTGAGTTCACAGGGGACTCAACATGGACCAGATTTCAAAGCCTTGACTCTCTTCTCTGTATCACACTATTGCCATTTCACTGACTTATTAGCCTTTTTTTTTTTTATTTTATGAGTTTAAAACTTTTTTTCTCCTTTCCAGTGTGTTAACAGTCCAACCCAGAAGCAGCATTTGGAGGGTTACATCCAAAATTTCCCTTTTCTCAAACCAGATCTTAAAGCTTTCTGTTCCCTGTCTCCACTTCTCATTTTACAGTTCTTTGGAAATGTGTCTATAAAATGTATTCATTCTTTACTGATCCCTGCAACCTGCAAAAGAATGTGTGAGACACTACAAAGTCAGCAATAATTGCCACAGTCCTTTACTCTAATGGGACAGATAGTCTTATAGGAGATACAGATAAACAAATAAAATTATAAGGTGAGGCCAGAAGGCACATCGGTAATGTGAGAATATTCAAAAGTGGTATGAAATGTGGACTTGGGTGGAGGGTGGTCTGTAAGTACTTCCTGGAAGATGCAGCACCTGAGTCGAGATCTAAAAGGGTGACTGAGTTGAGTTAGGTCTGTGTGCAGAGGGCTCTGCCAAAAAGTGCCTGTGGGAGCTTGAAGGAAGAGAGGCATTTGCTCTATTCTTAATTTGCTGAAGGTCATTCGGTATGAGTGAGCAGTAGTGTGTGTGTGTGTGTGTGTGTGTGTGTGTGTGCATGCACATCAGTGCCATAGTAAAAATTGGTTTGGAGAAGACTGGAGAGGCTAAGTTATTATCATTGACTAACGACAATAATAAGTAGCACTTAACACTCTGTGCCAGGCAGTGTTGCAAGTAATTTTAATATAACATGTTTATTCCTCATAACAACCCTAAGATAAAGGTATACCATTATGATCCCCATTTTCTATACCATTATGATCCCCATTTTCTATACAAGGAGAAGGAGACACACAGAGGCTAAGTGACTTCTTCAAGTTCCCAGACCAAGTGAGTGACACACCTGGGACTTGAGCTCCAGCCAATCTAGCACGAGAAGCGTGGTCCTTGGACGAGTATTATCAGCTTTACCTGGAAAGCTTGTTAGACATGTAAAAACTCAGGCATCAACCCAAACCTACAGAAGCAGAATCTGCATTTTAACAAAGACCAGGTCCTACCCGAGCACCTTAACATTTGAAGAGATCTGTTGGTAATCCCCTAGACTCTATTGTTTCTCTTTAACCTTAAAAAGGAGTCTGGACATGATCTTAAGGCCAATGGAGAGTCAGGGAAAAGTGTGAAGAGGTTGGCAAAAGTAAATGTGGTTTTGGACCAATTGTTTTAGGTCAGTTGTTCTGGCTTCAGAGAAAAGCAGTGGCAGAAGAGGACAATTCTGGAGGCAGGGAGACCAGTGAAAGGGCTACTGTTCACCGAGTAAAAGAAGATGGCAGCCTGAAATCGGGTGGTGGCAGTGTCAGGGGAGAGGCGTAGGTGAATGCATAAGGCAGGCTTGCCAGAACCTGGAGATTCTTTGGGTCTCCAAAATATGAATGGAGGGAGGAGAGGAGTTAGTTCCCCCCAAATTTCTGACTTGAGCAACTGCTTTCATCATGGTGTCATTTACTATATAAGAGTATCCTTGAGGGAAGTAGAGTGGGGAGCAGGAGAGGGAAATGATGAATTTACTTGTAGAATAAATGATGATATTTGAGACTTTGGAGCAGCCAAGTAGAGCTGTTTAGCCAGGGCCAAAGAGAGCACTGGAAGCCATATAAATGGCAGGGAAATCATATAAATTACTTGGGCATGGTAGAAGGGGTCTTAGGGCAAGTCCTGGCTGTCCTTGATGTTTCCTCCCGCCTCCCCCATCTTATTCACCAGGGCCCAAGCCTGCTCTGTGCAGTTCTGTTTTCAGCAGACACTTGAACACAAAGGTCTGCAGCTCAGAAAAGATATCTCAGATCTAGATTTTTGGATTCATTAGCCTACAGAACAGATGATAACGGAAGTGATGAAATAGCCCAGGAAGAGAAAAGGAGTCCAGGATACAGGGGAGAAGAACCAGACCGAGAAGCGTGGTTTTAGTGGGAAAGAATCGTGAGTTTGGTATCATGGGAGCCCTGGATAAAGAGTGTCTCAGGGTGGGGAAAGTGGAGAAGGTTAAATTGATTTGAGACACTGAACAGATGAGAAATGTCTGCTGGGTTTAACAAGACGCTAGTGATTGACAACCTCCATGAGAGCTGGGGAAACTGGTGAGGATGAAAGCCAGACTGCAATAGATTGAGAAGCCGGACTCAGGAAGTAGGGATTAATAGAATGTAGACAAACTTTCGGGAGATTGATCTGTGAAGCTGAGGGAGAGGAGCTCAGTAACGAAGGAGAGGCATTTTAAGAGGGGAAATTTGAGCATGTTTAAGTGCTGATGGAAGGAGCCAATAAAGAAGGGAAGGTTAAAGATGGTGAGCCCTGAAGGGTGGGGTATGAGGTAATGGACACTGGTTTAGATCTTCCCTTTTAGGTTCCAATCTACCGATAGGTAGGTATAGAAATTTGGGAGGATGGTCAGAGAAACAGGAAGGCCTCTCGGTAGTCATCTATTCCACATTCTGGGGTCTTCAATGGGTTCATCCTATCACCCTTCCATCCTAAGCCTTGTTCTCCACAAAAGGAGCTGTTCTGCTACTTGATTACTCTGCTTTTATTTCCATGACTTGCTGTCCAGGACAAATATGGCCATGAATTAACTAAGCACCTGCTTTAAAAATTAACCCTTAAACTAAAATCCTTTCCTTAGCCTTACCTGTCTTCAGGTGGGGACAGTTTAGAGAGACAGTTTAGGCGTTCTCCCACCCAAAGCCTTTTAAAGATTTGGGGAATGCAGTGGCACCAAGGTATGCTTAAAGTTGAGGTTTCTGGCTTCACAGAAAACAGTGGTTCATCATCAGGATCCCTGAGAATACTCAAGGACACATTTCAGGAATCTATCAACCTCAGAAATGTCATTGAAAATCTATTTGCAACAGGCTTTTTTTTTTTTTTTTTAGAAGAGGGTCCATTGATTCTGTTAGATCCTTAAGGGTATCTGTAGTCTGTGGAGACAGATAAATGCCCAAGCTGATCATTTCCAGGGTATCAAAATGTAACCAAGAAAAATTATGGCAATCAGAGAGGAAAAAGACAATTACAAGAGCACGGAAATACATGTTTGTTTAACCTCCCCATGTGAACCCAAGGATTTGGTTTTCAATTCTAAAGAAATCATGTTTCCTAGATTGAAAACATAAAAAACAAATCAAAGCTTTTCCAACATGTTCTAGATGAACATTTATTTTCAATATTACAGTAGAAAGTTACTAGGCTTGCCTAAGGAACCCAAATTAATCCACCTTTATTCAAAATGTTGTTGGCAAGTATGATAAAAATAAGAGGTAAACTTGTCAGTGAGGTGATGTGACATTAAAACCCCAAATGCTGCTCTTGGTTGGGTAGAGCAGGCTCAGAATTGGCAACTAATGATAACATGTGGAAATAAATAGAGCAAGTGTGGAAAATAGACATCGGAGTTTACCTTCCCCGTCAAACGGCTTGGATTATGGCTTCAGGCATATATCATAACAAATATGTTAAGAAATACCTTGTATGATACATGTTTGCAGTATTTGTGTTAAATATTAATCTATAGCTTTTGCTAATGAAAATGTTAGAATTTATACATGACGATGCTGTGGATGTGAAACGACGGCTAAAATCACTTGAGGATTTTCTTACATTTTATTTGTAAGGATTACACATTTTATTAATGATTCTTTTTAGTTTCCACATTTTGAAACCCAAAAGGACAGCTGAGGATTTGCATTTGGTTTTCAAAGGGCTGACAGACACCAAAGGGAGTCTGACTGAATGGGTGAGACAGCGTAAACATGTGGGATGTATACTGTTTCTGCAGTAATGCTGTTTGCATCAGGAAGCAATGCTTTCGATTCCTGTAATAGATTATGTATTTGTGTGGGCCAGACACACAGGCATTTCAGCTCAGTCTTTGAAAACCTCACATTAGGAATGGTCGTTAAGGCTGCGTCTGGAAAGTAGGCAGATTTTTCTCAAAAATAGCAGGAATCTTACTAACTCACTTAAAATCTGTAAATGACTTTGAATTGTGCTCTGGACATACAAACCCAGCCATAAAATAACCACAGTAATAAAGTTAGTCATTCAAATAAATTAAGCCAAATAAATCCCCAGAATCCTGCCACCCCCTTTTTATGGCAACGAAGCTATACCCCCATGTATAAAGACCATTTTCACAACAGAGGCGACAACTCTGAAGAGTTATCTGACCGCTATGTAGCCTCCACACGCATATTATTGAAATGAGAAATCTGAAAAGCTCAGCTTATAAAATATGACAACTGTTGGCTCAACTGGCTTTTGAAGTGTTTCTAAGAAACTTCAAGACCAAGTAAAAATTTTCTCATAAGCAGTCACTAGAAAGTTTATAAGAATCTCTCATCCTTAAAAAAAAAAAATTAAAGCCGAAATACCACATAAAAAAAAAACCACAAAGGAAACATTACGGAAAAGAAAACAAAACTTACTTTTTCTTAAAGCTGCTTTTTCCTGTGATTTAAGGAGTATGAAAGGAGAGTATATGATGATTATTTTTCTCCTCCAACACATTCAAATGTCAACTCCAAAAGGAACAGAAAGGACCACCAGAGCTATCTGAGGGTCCCCTCCCAATTGCAGCTTTTTCAGCTTTGTAGAAGGAAATAGGAGGGTGAGTGGGTTTCCTGCAAGTCTTGTGCGCGTAGCTGACTCCTACTGGGCTGAAAAAGCACTCCCTGTCAATTTTTACTTCAAATTGTAACAAATTCTCTGCAGGATATCCTTAAAGGGAAATCCTGCCAAAATTAGTATTTGGAATATCTGGATAAGCTCCAAAAAGTTTAAAATACAAAGTGTATATAGAGACAACTCACATACATACTCAAGAAATTTCCACTGCTTAGGCTAAATGAAGGGCATATTTAAATTTTTAAAAATTCCCAAAAGGATGATGTATTTTCTTTTTCCTTGTTTTTTTTTTTTAATTTTTTTTTGTTGTTTTCTTGTTTTCTGGCGACTCTCTGAACCTATCTTTTAGGATTAGAAATGGTTGTCCTACAGAGCTTTCCTGCTGAACTATCTAGAAAGAGATGAGGCCCCATGTTCTTACCTGCAGAATTTTTGGTTGCTTGAGCGATAAATCCTGGTTTGTGGCCTCTATCACTGCCTTCTTGGGAAATTTGAGAACTTTGAGCCGTGGATTTGACTGGAATAACTCCAGGTATTTACCTGCTTCCTGAACCTCACTATGGACTCACCATTCCCTGCCTTTGCCTATTGCCCTACGAGCTAGTAACGATTGTTATGTCACGGCATGGCTGTGTGACTTCATTTAAACAGAGACTTGTCCGGTCTTTCGAAATCTGTGGTTAAAAAATGAAAAGTGGAGTGGGATGCCTGGGTGGCCCCGTCGGTTAAGCTTCTGCCTTCGGTTCAGGTCCTGATCCTGGGGTCGTGGGATCGAGTCCCGCATCAGGAGCCTGCTTCTCCCTCTGCCCGCCGCTCCCCCTGCTTGTGTGCATGCACTCTCTCTCCCTCTCTCTCTCTGACAAATAAATAAATCCTTAAAAAAAAAAGAAAAGTGGATAGTGCGTTTAAAGAAATGTTTGAATACTGAACTAAGCCACAACAGGAATTCTCTGTGGGTCAGTTTGATCCATAAAGCAAATGACGTTTGCTCCTAGAATCTTCTATTTGAGGCTGTTTCTTCATTTTATAAGGTGGGGATGAGAGAAGAAATGTTCTGTCTTCACCCCATTTATTCCCAGAAAAAAACTGTTCTTGTTCTAAGTACTAAAGGAATTATATACGAATATTTTCTGAGATCGAACTCAGGCAGATACAATAAAAAAACGTGAGTTAGGGAAATGCAAAGCCAGTCAACTGTGTGCATTGCTACTCCCCTGGATTTGATGATTAAGATATGAAAATGAAAACATGGTGAGCAGCAAAAACAAATCGATTCAGTGAAAGGACACAAGCACATTCAACTAGTAATAGATGTTAACCCTCATGATACTACTGTTAGCCAGGCATTATTTTTATCCTTTTCTAGGTGAGGAAGTGGAGTCTTGGAGATATAAAATTGCGTATGTTCCCATCTAAGTATGGGGCCAGCACCTTCTTTGTTTACTTGTCTGCTTCCGGAGAGGGTAATCTACATTCACTGGTAAAACTCTGATCCTTCCGCTTCCTCCTCAGACAGTTGCAATGTCTTCTTCCCTTTGAACTACTCCACCAAAAAAGCTTCATTAAGTTCATAAAAGGTCTTAATTAGTACTTTAAAGGGCACTGTCTTTAACCTTACCTGAGATTTCTCATTTCTGGCCATGTTTCTTTCTTTTCGAAATTTGCCCTCGGTTTCACTAAGTTACACGCTCCTGATTTCCTCCTTGTTCTTACCACCCTCAGCCTCCTCTCCCTTTGTTCATCTCACCCTTCCCTAGAGCTTCCTCCTCAGTCCAGCAGGCTTCTCTGTACACTCTCCATGGCGCTCCTTATGGAAACCACTAGCGATTCTATGACTCCCAACAGTGTCATAGAAGTTCCAGACCTGTCTCCTGTTGTCTGTTGGCCATCTTTTCCACAGGTCCCCAGGCACCTCAAACTGAAAAGTCCCCACGAAACCACCTCATCTTCTCCCCACTCCAAACCTGCTTAGTCGGCTGGAGTTCCTCTCTCAGGGGATGACACAATCATCCAAGCCATCATCTTAGACTGTCCTCCCTTATTCTCCACCAGCCCCAATCATTCATCCCCTTCCCCAACTTCTAATGGTTCTACTTTGTTAAATCTCTCTCAAATTTGTCATCGTCCCTGCATCGTCCCTGCGCATCCTCACATTTCTCACTTGGATTACTGTAGCAGTCTTAAAACAATAGGTATCTTGGCCTCAGTCTGGTCCCCTCCTGTCATTGCTCTACATCACTGTAAAACAGTATTTTAAAATATCAGTTTATCAAATCATAAAATACATGCTTCTTGCAGAAAACCTGGAGTAAGAACTGAAAAAATAAAATTTAAAATGACTTGCAATCTAAGAGACAGTCACAACCCAAATCTTAACCCAGATCTCTTCAGAATATTTTGTATGCATGCATAGAACCATACAAGGAAATGTTTATGTAAATGTACTTATGCAAATGTTTGCACAGTATATTTAATTAGAAAACCAAGACCACATTATATATAGTTCTGCATCCTTTTCTACTTAATATACACTGTGAATGATTTTCCAAATCAAACATTTTTAAAGTGGTTGTGAATAAAGGCTGCAATATAATGAAACACACGAAATATATTATGGAATAGTGCTCTTCTCTCTCTGATTTTTCAACACCAGAACTTAGAAACCCTGAGTGTTTATATTGTATGAATCACAAGGACTTAGATTTCAGTAAGAAAGCAGGAAGGAGAAAAAGTCTACGTAATAGAGTTAAGTTGAAGGTACATTTTAGGCGAGTAGACAAGCTCAGTAGGAAAGCAATTTAATGGAGTGCTTTTTCTTCTTCACATTGGATGACAAGAAACGTAAGAGAAAACCCTTGGGACCTTTGTCTTAGCTTGACTAGTCAGAGAAAGGTGGGTTTTTGTTTGTTTGGTGGACTATCATCTGAATAAGCAAGAGTATTTCAGAGCCAAGAAGACCGTCTCCTTCCTGTGTAAGACAGGTTGTCCATGCTCCTCTTTGCCTATGGGCTGGGAAAAAGACTTCTACACATTACGTCCACATTTTACTTTTCAGATAGGAGAGACATTGATTTCACAAATAATTCATTTTAAAGGATTTTGGTAAGTTGTCAAACTGTCTTTCAGAATGGGTAGTCTTTCTAAAAGACAAATCTAATTACCTTATTTTCCTGGTTAATCTTGAAAAGGCTTCCCTTGTTTTCAGGAAAATGGCTAAACTTTTTCGCTTAGTGTACATATAAGGAATTTCAGGATCTCCCCCTGGTCTCTCCAGCTTCATCTTACCCAACTTTCCCAGACCATTTCTCATATTTCTCATACTTAGGGTTTCCCGAATGTCTCATTATTTTGTATTAGTTCGTGTCTTAGTACTTCCAGATCTCCTCTTCTCTCCCAGAAACGCCTGCCTGCTCTCCCTTCCCCTATTTCCCTGAGGCTAGTCCTACTTTTCTTTCAGGACTCAGTTCAGGGGGTCATCTCTAGCCTGTTTAGTTCCCTCCCGCTGTGCAAGACAGCTTTCATTTCTTCCCCCACCGCATCCTCTGCTAACTTCTCTCAAAAGGCTATTCTGAACTATAGTTGTTGATTCTTGCCATCTCCTTGAAAACAAGGGGTATTTTTAAGATTTACATTTGTACTTCTAGTGTGTAGCAGTCATACAGGATCCAGGTTGTTGGTTGAGCCAAGGATTTAAATTCACCATGTCTCCCCTTCTCTTCATCACACAACATAATCCCTTCCTTCCTGCTCTTTAAACACACATCAAGGCTAAGTCTTAGTACTAATCACTGAAGGGAAATAGAGGCAAGGCTGGTAAAACAAATAATAAAACACAACACTGGGAACTTATAAAAACTTAATACATGTTCAAAGTAATTATTCCTTCTTGTTTGGTGATGTAAATGGAATAAACACTGTGTTTCTGAAAGCCTGAAAGTCAAGGTTTCTTTTTTCGATGGTTTGGAATAAGTCTCTCTTGGGTTCTATTTCTTTTTTTGTTTGGTACGGTCTTCAAGGTAAAATGACTTGTGTGAATCCTTAGGCCATTTTAATAGCCACTTCAAGAGTGGTCCCAGATTTCTGTGGAAAATGTACATCCCAGAGGAGTTTATCTATGTGTGTTTCTTTCATCTCCCATATACACTGGGGGAAAGGTATTAATCAAAGAAAGCAAACCTTCCACCGACCCCACCCTCTACCCATCTCACATGTTAGTCCTTGATAGAAAAAAAGTCCCATTTGGCCCTGGGTTGAGTAGCATTTCTGGGAAGGAATGAACTGTTCCTTCTCAATCTATAGGCTGCACTATCACTGTTGCACTTTGACCTCATCCTTGGTGCTTTATGGTCTGACTAAAATATATTTTCTAAAATGTTGAAGATGGTTCTATAATCAGGTTAAGCAACTTCTACACTTATTCTGATTCAGTATTAATGTCTTCTCTGAAAATTCACTGTGATTTTGATAAGATATGCCATGGTTCACTGAATCCTTCTGATGGCCAGAAGTGGGTTTCCCTTGACTCTTCAGAAACACATGGTCTGAAGGTGGAACACACGAACACATTATTCAAACATCTTCATTATATCTGCAACAGTAGGAAGTAGCAGATATGATGTGCAGCTGCACATCTGCTGAAATCCAGCTAACTGAAAATGATTTACTCAGGTGAAATGGTTCACGAATGGCAAACATTCCAGGAATGAGATACTGAGTACTACGGAACTATTTTTGTGTAAGAAAAATTTAAGAAAACCTTTGAAAAATGTTTAGAATAAGAATTTTAAAATGTAAATACATTACATATAACACCTGCCCAATGCATTCTAGTAATTGAAATAATGAAAGCTTCAAAGTACCACAAAATTTAATAGAAACAAGCAAATTTATTTTTAATAACATTCTTAAATCTGCCCATCGAGGTCATAGTAGATAGCCATTTAAGAATATTTAGTTTATTGAAATTAGAATTTTACATACAAAATCAGCTAGATAACTTTATTTTCAAAAACAATAAAAACTGTTCTTATTTACTGTGGAAAAACAAGAACCGTTTTGATAAATGAAAAAAATTAATGTGAACAAGATAGAATGGTTTTCTTTTTACTTGCTTGGTTGTCTCTCCTATTTTTATTCCTACAAATTAAGAAAGTCAGAACGATTTTATTTCTTTCATTGTCTATGGTCTAGTTTGACACAAATGTGGATTACTTTGGTATCTGCTGAAACATAAATGAGAAGGTTCTTAAAGACTGAATAAAACATTAGGCTGGGTGTTCAATATTTTGGAAACTGAATAAACAAAACTAACTGGAGTTTGTGGTCACAGAGGATTTTTCATTTTTCTTCCTTTGCCCATATGAAAATACAATAGAAAATTACCAATGGAAAAACACTTTTAAATTTATGTTACATTCCTATCAACTTTAATAAGCATTAGCTCAGTTAGCAATTATATCAATTGCTTTCACTCAGTATGAATACTTTGTCTGGAATTAGAGGTAGACTGATATTTGTATTCAAACATTTTGAACCACAGAGTTTTAAGTGCCATATAAGGAATTATATAAAATAGTACT